TCTCTCCCTCTCCCTCTCCCTCTCTCTCTGTCTCTCGCTTTGTCTTTCTGAGTCTCTCTGTCTCTCTGTATCTCTCTCTGTGTCTCTCTCGGTCTGTCTGTCTGTTTTTCTGTTTATCTGTCTGTCTGTCTGTCTGTCTGTCTGTCTGTCTCTCTTTCTCTCTCTCTCTCTCTCTCTCTCTCTCTCTCTCTCTCTCTCTCCTTGAACCTCTGTCTCGGTCCGTCTCTGTCTGTCTAATGTGTGTCTCTCTGACTCTCTGTTTCTCTCTACGATTCCGTTTCTGTGTGTTACTATCTGTCTGTCTGTTTGTTTGAGTGTGTCTGTGTTTGTGTGTGTGCCTTGTCTGTCAGTCTATTTGCCAGACTCTCTCTCTTTCTCTTCTCTCTCTCTCTCTCTCTCTCTCTCTCTCTCTCTCTCTCTCTCTCTCCCAACTCCCACGCTAGGCTACATTGACCACTCACAGTATGTAAACGTCGTCTTCACTGATCACTGTTACAATTCGCTTCCTTCTCTTCCTCCTTCCTCTCGGACAGGGAACATCGCCGCAGGTCTCACCAACGCCAGCTTTATAGATTTCAATGTGGATACATGCAACCTGAACGTGATGTCTGAAGTGTCCGTCTACGGTGAAACGACCCCTTTCAACTTCACCTGGCTCAGAGTGTCCGGAAACTGGAGTAAGATGGGGCTGGTCATTTCCAAATTAATGTCCTATACCGGGTACAGAAGACATGGCACACATTGCAATATATGTACTTTGCCACGGTAGATAAACATAATTTGTTGTTTCTGATTGTATTGTAGGTACTTATGTTATTTGGTAACCTTTTTGTGATTGCTACTGGTGGTTTTGTTGTTGTTAATTTTAATGATGTAGCTGTTGTTGTCACTGTTGCTTATGCTGTTGTTCCTGCTGCTGATGCTACAGTTATCTTTCCTGTGCTGTGCTATTAGCTGAGTTTGAATTGTTGCAAACTGCATCTTTCAGAGAGCGATGTTGGCTTAAGGCAGCTTCTAGGTGGTGTTGGATCAAATGACGTTATGTTCAGGGGTGGTTGTTTCACTGGACAAGACTGGCAGCGCCGGTCATTTTTTGTCTGCTCAATAGTGGACGAACAGTTGATTGCTGATTCATTCAGTTTCTAGCAAACCCAAACTATAGTCTGGTCAAAGAATCGTATCGCAACGTATCCCCAAATATCTCTTTAAAAGATGAATCAATGTCACCCTTGCTTTGCAAAGCAGTTTGTATCAATTTGTCATAAGTTAATCATATATTCCCACACCAATTGAGGCTAGATTTAAAAACTTTTCTTCATAAACGTAGGCATAAAATACGATAAATCTCCGTCACGCGGAAAAAGGGACTGTTCACAGCATTACCCGCTTCTCACACACAATTCGAATACGCGTTTGGCCTACGTCACAGCTAACCAATGACACCTTTTAGTGGCAAAACATGTTACAAGAAATCATTTTTATAGTGAACACATTTTTGCACTAAAGGTTCTCAAAATATGCGTTCAATAAGAATAATGCCGCAATTAATAAACAATGACAGACTGGCTTTTAAAAGCAATATTGTCCGAGATGTTAATCTTTAAAAAATCTGTAGAAACCACTCACTTGGATTTTTAATATGTAGCCTAGTTATCAAGGAATTTTCTAGAATACAGCTAGTATGTGTTTACAAAAATATTGACCTGTTAAGACAAAATGATGCAAGCCATCGTGCAAAAGCTGGAGAATTTATGTTCATTAGTTGAGGACATATTTAACAATAAATTGCACAACGAATTTGTGACCGGACTATAATAAAACATAATTAATCAAAGTTCAAAAAGAACTTTGCCTATTTGAAAGCCCTCAAAGAGACCATAGGGTTCACTGTTGTGTTATCGCACGACAGAGACAGGTTCCTTCACCTTTGTTTATCATGCTGGCTCGCAACGTTTCGAATGCAGTACAAATACATATGATTTTAAATGATTTCATCAGTAATATTTATCATTCAACATGTCTCTTATTACCGTCAGTAATATTATTGTCAAAATAGCGGTAATCTTTATTGCCTATTGAATTTTAATAAACAGTATGACGGGACATTGTTGTGTGCTGAATGTGTGTGTGGACGTGTGTATAGTGCAATGTGCAGTATCTGATTCTAGTGTTCATCTGCATGGGACAAAGTCATTGTTAAGGTATCAGTTGACATTTTGTCATAACACAGTTTTAATAGTTTTACATGGCGAGCGCACGTCGATACTTTGTATTGTGTGTGGAAAGTAAGTCTTTGGGTGAAGATCAGGGGGCCAGGGCTAAGAGGTGGTTACTTCTAACTTTCACTTTGGGGTTGTTTTTTTTTTTGTTGTAGAGTGGTGTCTTTCGTTCCTTGCGGATAAAATCTGTTTCTATCGATTTCCGTGTCTTCATTCAATGTATGAAAACTCTGACTTACAATTAGAATCTGTAAGTTTGTAACAGCATGGATTTTCTTCTACAAACTCCTTTCGTGCATTACCCCCCCCCCC